CCCCGTAACCCCATCACCCCCCGCGTCCCGGTATATATATACGCGAACCCCCTCGAGCCCCCGAAACATTCCAGGCTTCTTGTAGCATCCCACCAAGTTCCTTGGATCCTGTCCTGCGAGGGTGCTTGCCGGCCTTGATGGATCATTGGGTGCCTCCTTCTTCTTCCTTCTCTGGCGTGGATGCGGCTTCTTCAAATCCTCGCTGCCGCTTCGATGAGGCGTGGAGAGCATGCGGGAGGTCCGGCGCCGCGGCTGTGGCGGCGGCCTGGTGGGCTCTCGGCGCGCTGCTCACCTTGGTCTTCGCCGTCGGTACGTGCCAGGTTTTGGTTCCCTTCTGTTCTCGGTCAATGCTTTGCTGCGCCCGTGGCTCCAATCGTTTGCTACCCGTACTCTTGCTGTTTGATTAGTACGAATTGTACTTGGGGTTGCCCGAGATTGGGTACGGTTTTGGGTTCCTGTGCAGATTTTTTACTTCCCGGTAGTTGTTGGCACTCTGAGTTTGCGTTGTGGTGCATTCTTATTCGCTCGAATTGGCAACAATTCAATCTCGTAGGCAGAATTTTTGGAGCTTCTTTGCCACTTTAGTCACCAGACATTCTAATTATGCTTACCTTAAAAGCTTCCACTTTTCATTGTTAACGTACAGGTTTTATGTGGTTCATGGTCGATCATGTTTTTGTTCTCTGTTTGGGTCCTGCATTGCAATTTTTAATTAATTGGCTAGGTATTGCATTGCAATTATTCCGTGAGTAGGCCATGTTGTGTAAATGGTTGGTACATTATCTGAAAGTTTTTCACATTGTAAATTGTTATTTTTGAATGCAGTGGGTTCGGTAGTTGGGTTCTTCATTGGTGCCTGCATGGGGATGTCCACCGAAAGTGGCATGCTCCGGGGTGCCGGTGTGGGAGCACTCTCCGGCGGGGTCTTCTGCACCGAGGCCGTTGAATCCTGCATCGAGATTTGGAGATCCAATGAATCCGGAAAATATAGCATTCTGTTTGTGGTGAGTGTGAAAGAACTCAGTGACCTCTTTTTCTTTCATGTATCGGGAAATGCAAACGATCATTTTCATGGACCTACCCGAGCACATACCTCACTAGGATGCGATAGGCCTAAGCATGAGCTAGTGGCTGGTTTATTTTGAAGGTCATTCATTGAGGAGAAATCGAGAAACCATGGAAACATATGCTAGAAGTAAATGTTTTATCCAGGAAATAATATTGCATTTTGTTGTTTTCATACTATGTCATCGTCATTTTTGTGTGAATAGGTGAAGCATCCACTCGTAAGCAGATCGTGTTAGGTTTTACTTGTTCTGTTGTTCCGTGTTGGGTCTTTCAGCTTGACATCATCTCTAGCCTCTTCAGTGGACGAATTATTTGGGAGAAGGTCAGCCCGGCACTGCAGCGTGCAGTGCAAAGCCAGGTATATATATATAACTCTTCATATAATCTAGCTGTAAATTCATAATGATTGGTAGTGTGATATCATTGCTCTCTGATGGCTAAAATGGTAGGATAACCCAGTAACCATGTCAGGTTCTAGTAAAAATAAATCTATATTCATCTAATATATATGTAAAACACTTTCAAACCTTACAATTCTCCTGATGTAGTAGATTCTTAGCATTAAAATGGTTATATGGATAATAACGTTTCCCATTCTCCTGCATAGAAATATCTAGGACTAGCTAGATTATGGGGCTAGAGAGATCAAACCTTAAATGTCCTTGTTGTGGCATCTAAAATACAATGAAGTTCTTCAGATATGTGTGTATGTGATATTTATCTTAGAACAACAAACAATCATGCTAAGTAATGATACAATATTAAATTGAGAAAAAACATGATACTGCTGACATGTATTATTGAATAGATCCCACATTATCCGCAACAGAAAGAATAGATCACACATTATCCAAGATTAAACTTGTGGTGATCATTTCACACCATCTATGATATAGGACTATATACAGAGTGTTCCTTCAATGCACATGCACATACAGTACTCTTTCTGATTTTATAGGACCAGAGACTACCAGAAGCAATAACGACTTCTAGGCACGACACCTATAATTGCATATGGTGTTGATTGTGACTTGGCAAGGTTCTACTATGTGATTGCTACGGCAGTTGCTTGCACACCACGCTAAGTCTGATCCAATGTTTTGTGTAATGCAGATGAGTTCACTGAGTACACCATTCATCGACAACAGTGACCTTTTCGAGACCAGCGGTACGGATGGCATGTCAAGAGATCTGATCGACAAGATCCCAGCGATCAGGTTCAGCACCGCAACCGGTTCTGATCAGGAAACTGATGAGAGCTGCTGCTGTTCAGTGTGCCTTCAGGTTAGTGTGTGAACTTGACGTGCATTGTTTGCCAAAAAATAGTTCCTTGAACTGATGACATGTTGAACTACAAACCAGGATTTCGCGTCGCGGCAATATGTGAGAGCTTTGCCTCAGTGCCGGCACATTTTCCATGTGCCATGCATCGACAACTGGCTTCAGAGAAACGCGTCCTGCCCACTGTGCAGGTGTGGTGTTCATATAGTAGACCATATGCATATGTAAACAACTTCGCTGTGCACCTGGTGTATTTCATAGTCGAATACCCGTACGTGCTTGCATTCTACAATCGTAAATAGTCTTGTCAGACGTGTGTGAGGAAAATCTGACATGAAATGACAAGAACCTTCCTCATGATGTGTCTTGAGGAAAATCCGAGGCTGCTAGTAACGGCTGGCATTTCCTTTTATTGGGAGCAGACGGAACCTCTCCATCAGCATGCTGTTTAGAGAGCGAGAAGTGACGTGCCTACTCGCAGAAGGTACAATGCGACAGACAAATTGATTGATACAACCATCAAGGAGGTTTTAATAACCATGTTTTAGCGCTATGTACTGATGGAGAGGTGATCCAACGTCCTTGCTTTGTGTATTTCACCATAAATCCTCTAATTTCACTCTCAATATGGGTTACTTGTGAGACCCGGCTAGAAGGTCTCTTATATACAATTGTATTCTCAGTTATCTCTCCTACTTTTTTTTTTGAGGGAAAGTTATCTCTCCTACTTAAAATCCTTTAGACTTGAAATTCACTTTTTAGACTATCAGGAGGGCAAGAGAACCCCGGTTCCATTGCATTAACGAAAGGTGGGCGCTAGCCGCTAGATGCCAATCGGTTGTACCGAATAAAAGAACAGTTGCCCTCTCTGTCGTCCGATTCATCCTGATATATGCTTTTCCAGGCTCCCAGCCATCCGACACGTCAACACAAAAGAGCACTCTTCATCTCATTAGTAGCACGATTCTTACCGTCGTGACTGTCTGACCGACTCGCAGAACAGGCAACCCTCGTCGTAGGACACCGACTGGTAGCGCGCCGGCGGCTGTCGCAGCACGGTGGCGGTCGTCGCAGCACTCACTCGCAACACGGTGGCAGTCGTCGCAGCATCGCCGGAGCAACAGGGGCACCGTCGCAGCATTCACCACGCCATGGAACCACCGGCGTTGTCGCAACACCGATGGTCAGCTTTAGTTTCCTTTAGATTTACCGGCCAGTGTGTTAAGATTTATCAATCAACTAGGAAAGATGCTAACAAACTGATATGATGTGTTCTAAAGTTTTTGGTACAAATGTGAAGTAAACAATGTTTTAAAACTGGGACTGAATTATCACTGTTATATATCATTTCTATATTTTCCTCAATAACACATCTAGACCTATGCATATAATATTAGGTGTGAGCAAAAGAAGCTGAGAGAGAGAAAAAAATTGTTCTGAGCTAATAAAACTTGACGAAGTACAAATTTAAGTTGAAGCGGGAGCTTATTAAAGTTTGTATAGGCTTCTTTTGCCGTGTTGCTTCTTTTTTTGCCGTGCTGCTAATAAAACTATATATGGATGTGGCATAAATGGGAAAGAGTGGTTTTTTAGGGGTATTTTTTTAGAACTCTTTTGAGGGGTAATTTTCTTTTTGAGCAAACTAGCAAGGTGGCAAGGGCAACAGTTTTAGTCCATTAATTTTATATGAACTAACATGATATATTTTTCTTCTATTTATCCTTTAATTGCCTGGTAAATAACGTTTTAGGAAATACATGTCTTAAGGTGTAGCATTGACCATTATTTTTTATGTGAACATACAATTATGAACTTGAAATATAGCATGTGAGAATGGAAAAATAAAAAATTATAATAAATCGAACGATATTGAAGTTTTTTCGTTGATTGGCAATAATCAAAACTAACCCACCATTATTCAGCAAGGTATATCGGTTGTCACATACTTTAGCATATGTATGCGTCTCTACGCCCCTTTTCGTTTTATGCATGGGCTACACGCCTACGAAGAATAATACTATTATGTTCTTATCTTGTAAAATCACATTCTTCTTCCTTGCATATACAATTAGATCTATATTTTTTAAATGATAATGATTTCCTCGAGCCTTTGACTCTAGTAATATATGATAACTTATGTATTGCTCTACGATGCTCATGTTACGCCTAATCATTCCTCCATCTTTTTTACGATCATCCCCAAAGTATTCTTGTACATTGTCGATAATATCAGTTCCCTATGGATCATAAGATGGTAATAATATTTTAATTGATCATATATTTTCTTGAGTTCGAGCCATGTATCTATCCATTGAATTATATTTGTATTGGCGTACGTGGTAAGGACTAACATGTTAAAATGCGGATGGACTTGCATGTCATTTTTTCAGAAGGAAGTAACAGTACTTGTCATTTATAGTTAAAGTATTAATTATTGTGTGTCCTTGTTTTGTTTGTGTTAGATCTTCTCTTGTAGTCTTTTTTTAATATAACTGTAGTGATATATCGGTTGTGTTTTCTTTTAAATATAATTGACTAAAATATTCCGAAGCCCATTTGGTTTGACGTATGTGGTGAGACCAAAGATGTCTAAATGAGATGTAAGGTGTACTTGATATTTATAGTTAAATAAAAACTTACATGTGTACTTTTTTGTGCGTGCAAGAATTATTGAATTGCAAATGCAACAATCAAGAGTTGTTGTTTTTTGCTATACCTCATCCTAGCACAGGGATGCTCGACTATATAGAAGAACTAAATAAAGTAAACTCAAATATTACCCCCTCCTGTTTTCAAATACTTGTTCTTTTAGAAGTTCTGTTAGTTTTCTTTTGCTAGCATTGTGGAAAGAATTATCAACATAGACAATATTAATTGATGATACCAATAAATCTATCATGAATAATTCCAAAATTTAGGGAGTACATCGTAACCAATTAGCAATTCTAGATGACACTGGATATGGTAAAAGGATAAAAATGTGTAGAAACATCTACACTTGATATCCACAATGTACTAATATACTAAAATGCATTCTCCTGTGGCAAGGGAAAAATTATTGCTAAGAAAGTATTAAGGAGGTAAAAAAAATTGCTCTATAGTGCACCTAAACCCGGGATGAAAATTAAAATCAAAGAACATTAAATATTTAAATTTAAATCAATGAGCATTTACGCCTTTTTATTTCTTCAAGACACATCTGGTTTTATAATAAACAACAGAAAAATTTGTGTTTTTGAACAACAATTTACTGCTCTCTAAAATGAAAGTTTTTATGTGCTAAAAATTGAAAAGAGTATATTGGGAAAAAAGAATTGTCCGGTTTTGCTTTTACATTTTAATGTAGATAAAGGACTGGAACACAAACATGTGGAACCATCTTTTATTATTCTAGTTTATACCACTCTAAGACATTTGGCCACAACAATATATGCATAAATGTGAGATAGTAAATTACATCATGCTAGTTGTATGGAGAACACACTATCATTAGGTGAAGAATGCCTCCAAAAAGTATTGTGTAACACCACTTAGTTTGAGAGCCTTCTCATGCTTGACTATGTTTTTCGGGTTAGAAACAAAATATACTCTGCAATATAAATGATTATATCAATCTACTTCCCTTTTCTAACAACAATAGTATTGAACTCACACATTTTCGATGTGACCATATGCATTAACGAACCATTTTTAATAATTTTGGCTTCGTATATTCAAAAGGCACACCATGGCAAGAGGATTCCTACAATTGGCTTTCCCTGATTACCTGAAAACAACACATGGATATTTTTCAAGAATTAAAATTGATTCGACTGAAGAGATGTTGTTTTATTAAGTTGTGCTAACCATTCAAATGAGGGGGGAGGAGCTAGAAAGATAAGAGTAAAGGACTAACATTGAAGCTGAAATCTATATTTTTTTAGAAAGAAGACCATGTGATAAATATTCTAACTTATCAACCATGGTGATGTATAATTGTCAGGAAAAAAATGATTTCACGGAATATTGGTAGCTCATATATATGAGCAGTACTGTTGAGATTATACTTGTATCAAAATATGAATCAAAATCTATCAAAGCAATGACAACCAAAGAGAATCCCATCATAAAATCTTGACGGGTATCCCCACCTCTCGGAAGTAAATCCAGCAGTATCGTACATGCGTACATCATCGGAAGGCGCGCATGCTGTCGTGTGCCATGTTCAGACGGCTACCACTGCAGAGGAAGGGTACAGGTCGTATAGGAGAAGGAGAATCATGGGAAGATCGAGAGGTGGGGATCTAGATGAGGAGAAGAATTGTTACGTGTGATTTGTTTTTGTACACGTGATTTTTTTTCCATGGACAAATTTGTGTCACGTGAAGTAAATACACATGATTTTTTTTCTTAAACATATTGTGTCACGTGAAGTTATCATAGGCCCATCATATTACATAGATTGAACGGTCACAAATTAATATATTTAATAGACCCACCAAATTAATGGTCAGATATTTCTGATTAACATGGGATTTCCTAGCCAATATCTCTATTTTTTATCCGTATTTTGCTTTTAGTATATAATAGATAGATTTTGAGGGGTAATTGGGAAAGGAGTGATGGTATGAGTATCCTTTCAGTGGCTCAGGAAGTTTTTTGGGCCAGCGATATTTCGAATGGACCGTGAAACAACAAACGGCATCTACGTATTTAATGATGTGCGCCAATTTCAATTCGAAGAAACATACAGAGCAGATACATCAGGTAATTTGTCTAAAAAAGATACAGCTGGTAATACGGTATGCTATGCAGATCACGAGGTAACTCGATGGTAGTGATTTCAGGAGCATCTGAGCCTGGGCACCGAAATGAGTTTTCACAATTTTATATCATATTTATTTGGACTAACATAACTAGTATTCTTAAATAGTTCATCCCCGGTAAATACTCTCAACGTGCAGTCTTTCACCTCACCAAGCATGTCATGTCAGCATCCACTAGTATTATTTTTCAGCCATGCACCACATCCACTACCTTTAATTATTACGACATGAACTCTCCCACCTCACCAAGTCACGCATGCCATACATGTCTGCCACATCATAATTAGTCGCATAATTATCCACGTCATACATCTTATGCCGGCCTTAGTGGGGAGCATCGTTTCCAAGCATTGAAACATCGTTTTTAAGTTATATCTACAATTCATATTACACATATATCATCATCTCTTCATCAAACTAGTG